GCAAATGAGAAAGCTGGAACTTCAGTATCAATCAGTTCTTACAAGCAAAAAGCCATGACGGGAGCAGGGAGTATTGGATCATCACCTGCTTTTCCAGGCTCAATGTTGCAATCACAGAAAGGTTTTCTGTCGGAGCCCTCGAAGCTGCACTTCACCAGGGAGACAAGTGAAGGAACTCCATTAAAGCAATTCCATGATGTAAGTTTTATCTTGGATGAAATGAAAGGTAGAGTGTGCTTGTGTGTGTCTTGTATCCTGTATCAACATGCTCTCTTTTTCTTCAGTATCTTATTCATTTATCATCATTTTTGGTTGGAATCTTAAATGCATTCTTTTATCTATTATGGGAAGTCTCCTCCATGACCCCTTTTATTCAGTCAGTCCTTTTGGTGTGATGGGATTTGTTAATTTCTCAACTTTTAGCAGTAAGCTAGTTTCCTCAATTTTTGCCAATATAGTTTTACTAATTGGTTATGCATAATTTAAACAATTAATATATTCTTAATTGAACCTGGATCTCCGTATATGCTAGCATATGCTCCTCCTATGATTAATTTGCGCCTTCCCAATTGTGTTTTTTTATTATGAGAATTTAATATTATATCCTGTGCGTATTTACATGGTAGGATGCATTTTCTGAATACACTGGATATGTTGCTGTTGATCTGATAAGTATACTTGAAATTGCTTATATTTATGAAGTAGCTTATCTAAACCTTTTCAACAAGGTACTGGAACATGCTTAATCATTTCATATTCTTCATTTCCTCAAGGTTGAAGAGATGGCCAGGAAATTGGATGATCTTCTAGAAGGTATAGAAGGTGAAGGTGGGTTTAGAGATGCTTCCATCCGTGCTCACAACAGTTCAGTTTTGGCATTGGAGGAAGGTATAGAGAGTGTATCGGAGAAATGCAGGATATGGAGAGTAAGCTTTCATATTCATTCTCTATCTCACCTAATATCTTGTATGATGCCATGTTTCTTAACATAAAGCTTGTTTTGTTAATCTTGCTATTAGTTGCAGACATCTCTAAAATCAAGTACTTTATCCAATAAGATTTAATCATGAAAGTCCTAAACTGGATTGAACCTGGAACTCTGGCTTAAGAACAGTAGAAGGCACAAGTACTGTTGCGTTGTAGTAGTTGATGATCTTGCTTGCTTGTAATTTCTATCCACACATAGAACCTTCTTTCATGAAAAATCTGTTGTTGCCTAGTTGGTAAAAGTTGATGCTAGGTTGAAGGTGTTTGTTGCTCACGCTCTATTATTACTATCGAAAGCTTAATTACACTAAATTCTGGATTCTGTATGTTGGCAGTCTAGATATGTGCATTTTCTGAATTTGTAGAAATTTCCTCAGGATGTTTTGCTCAAAGAAAACAGAATTTCTAAAGGTTCTGTTAAAGTACTGTCCAAAATCTCTTTTAACTAGTTGCAAAAGTTGTACTGATAAGCTTGCCTTGTAAACTTTCATTTTTTGGTATTCGATCAATGATTGGTCCTCATTTTGGACATCCATTTTTTGGTAAAACAAACTGCTACATAAAGAGCAGAATTACAACCTATACCTGTAACCAATGTCCGAATTGGAACGCATTGAACATTCTATCAAAAGATTATGTTCATAAAAATTAGTTCCATCTATAAAATAGGAAACAAGTCAAGTTTTGGGAAGAAAAGAACACTTCGTATGGTTGCAAAGGAGTAAGAAGTTTATCTCTTCTTACTCCTTTACTTCCTCCTTGGTGGTTTTCTAATCTTTCCCTTGATATTCTCCCTAATAGTCTCTAAAACAGGAAAAAGGAGCATATGAAAAGAATTGAAGCCCATAAAACCAATTTGAGATTACTGTGGTGAATGATTTGTCTAATTTCAAATTCTTCTTCCTTTTTTTTAGTAAGAAAGAAGGCAATTGTTGTGGAGTGCATCTTCTTGATATTTGAGTTTAGTGTTTACTCAATCAGCAAGCGCTAATCATTATCCAAGTTGTGCAGAATCTTGGTCAATTGGAGAAAGTTTCAGAAGCCTCTCTGCAATAAATGGATGGATTGTCTGTGTATTTTCGCTTCCTACCAGAATTACAGCTGCATGAGTTTTAGAATTATTCCTTTTCTAATTGCAGGCAGTAATGGATAAACAACTTGGGGAGGTCCAGCTTCTCCTTGATAAGACAGTACAAGGTATATATCCTTGATCCTGTCCACCAAATAAAATAGGCTGACTTGTTATTCCCATGTTCTCCTATTTATAATCAATCATTTATTTGATGTAGACATCAGAATCATGACAAAGAATCGATGAAGCGTTAACAAGAAAAATTAATAAAACATTCTTCTTACTTTTATTGTGTGTTCAATCATTCCAAGATCTGGAAATGAAGTGTTACACTTCTCATAAGTTGTGAATTGTCATCTTTACATTTCAATTTACACCTCATGAAGTTGGAAAGTCGCTGTCTTACTCGGACTTTCTTCTTGCTTCATGCAATGTCTGTGACTGAGTGGATATAATCTAAATTGCTCGGACTCATGTCTAATACTGGTGGAGATCTAGAGGTGAGATCATTGATGATCTAAATTTTAAGATTTAGGGGTACGGATCCAGGAACTATGCAGGTGCAAGGATTTGGCTAAAAATAATTCAAGTATCTAAAATAGAGATATATGACTAAATTATGAGACATTACGTGGAAAACTTACAACGTATTCCGTGGAAAAAATAGAAGAGAATCCCATAAGGTGATAAAACGGAAAGTACTGACTAAAAAATTTCTATATACATGCTAAATATGTTATGTCTCTTTTCCCTTTACCAGCAAACGTAGAAGAGAGGTTGGATAAATTGAGGCGTAATTTCCTATGGTCGAGGAACAAAGAAGGGAAAAAATACACTTAGTTAAATGGCAGACAACCTTACTAAGCAAGAAGACGGGGGGTCTTGGCATAAAAAATTTGAGGGTCCAGAATAAAAGTCTACTTTCTAAATGGCTTTGGAGATTTGTGGTTGAAGATCAGGCATCATGGAGAAGAGCAATTCTCAACAAGTATGGGCAGACCGAGGAGTGGATGTCTAACGTAGTAGATAGCACGTATGGGGTATCAGTATGGAGATCAATCAAAAATTTATGGAATAGTCTAAAGAAGAATTTAGTGGTCAAGGTGGGAGAGGGTAACAAAGTATTTTTTTGGAAGGACAAGTGGATTGGACAAGAGTGTCTAAATTCGTTTTTCCCCGATCTCTTTTCGTTTTGCACCAATCCTGAGGCTAAAATTTCTGAGATTTGGTCCCCTCAGGGATGGAACCTCACCTTCAGGAGAAATCTAAATGATTGGGAAGTGGATAGAATTGTTGAACTGCTTCTCAAATTGGGTAAATTTACGGGCCTTACTACAAAAGCAAAGGGTATAAGATGGAAACATGACTCTGATGGCAAGTTCTATGTACGTAGACTATATAGGAGAGAGGTCATGACTCACTCTGGGGGAGTTCATGGACTATGGAAACAAATATGGGAGGGCACACCCCAACCAAGGCGAAATGCTTCACCTGATTGGTTACCAGAAGGGCATGTCTCACTCAGGAGAAACTCAGATTATCTCCAGATACTTTTTTTGTCATGAGAAGGAAGAAACTAACAACCACTTATTCATACATTGTAGGGTTACTGCTCAGGTGTGGCGCATGGTCTACAACATTTCTCAAGAGCCCTTGGTGATGCCAGAACATACTGCTGATCTTTTGAGCTGCTGGATAAGGAGGGGGGGGGGGGGGGGGAAGCAAGAAACCAAAAAAATGGTGGTCTATAGTACCTGCTTGTGTCTAGTGGACTATTTGGAGAGAAAGAAATCTTAGGTATCATGAGAATATTACTAACACTATGCAGAAAGTTAAAGAAAATTGCATTAACATGTTTTTTTTTTGGTGTAAAGAAGAGGGTATAGAAGTAGCAGAACAGTGGTAGATTTCTTAGAATCAATGTAATTATGGTTTGAGCTTGTAACTTTTTGGAGGTAGCCAGCATACCCTTAAAGCTAAAGAATACAATTTTAACTTTATCAATTTTTTTTAATAAACATGCTATCCCAATTTCGACAATTTCACCATAGTTTATTTTAATTACAAAATCATTGTATTTGTGCCAGATTTCTCCGTCGACTTTGGTCAAAGTACCAAATTCGATTGACCAAATCTGGACACAGATCCCACACCCACGGTGTGTCAGCACAGATTTAGGCACCAAAAGTGAAGAGTCCGGATAACTTAGGATAGAAGAACCAATTTCAGTTGAAGTATAGACAAATTTTGTCTCAAGTTGTGGAGAAAAAGTCAATTGGTGCCATCAAATTTGCAAATCACAAGTTTGATAATTGTAGTGGTATGCAAGATTTTTTCCCTTGCGCCCACGAAGGGTTTTTCCAGGATGTAATTTCTTGTTGCTTAGGTATTCCCTCTATAAGTCAGACATGTTAAAGAATAACAAAAGTCCTACATCGATGGTTAATGAGATGGATGAACTCCTTATAAGGCTTGTGCAATCCTCCTCCTTTTGAGCTAGTTTTTGGGGTGTGAGTTAGACCTAAGATCTAATTTCACATAATATTAGAGCAGAGCCCGTCTCACCCGATGTTTTTTTTAATGACAAGGGAAACCCGCAGCCGCTACCCTTTGGGTGCGCACAAGGTAAAACCCCAGCTCCTATGCAATAGCTTGCAAACCACATAAGAGAGGTAACCCGCACTAGGCCTCGACCCAGAAGGAAATGGCAAGGGTCTCGAACTTGAGACCTCCAACATGGAAGTCCCAAGCTCAAAGCATTGGGCCGCCTCGAAGGGTGCCGTCTCACTCGGTGTTGGGCTCTTAAAATAAAAAATTGCCCACGCACCAGATGCTAAGCACTGAGCATGAGGTGGGGTGTTAAAGAATGACAAAAGTCCCACATCAGTGGTAAA